AAAATAGATTAGCAATAAACAAAATAACATAGTACATATTATCTAAATTTTCAAGTATTTATGATTGCAGGGAATGAGGTAATGCTTACCCCAACATCAACCCAAACCTACCACAAATTAAACCCAAAACACTAATCACTAAATCTTAATAAAAAAATATAAACCATAATCCAAATATCAAAATATGCGGATCCAAATAGAATAGTAACAACGAAATAACATAGACATATTGTTTAAATAGAATAGTACAACCGGCAACTTACAATATATACAAGTGGTGGTGGTTACGGTGGAAGAAGGGGAAACTGGTATCAAAAACTAAATCAAAATACTAATCACTAAACCCTATAAAGAAATATAAACCCTATAAGAAAATATAAACCCTAACCCAAATAGCAAAATATACACATAGTACATAATATTAAATATTATCAAAATAGAATAGTAACAAACGAAATAGCATAGTACATATTGTTTAAATTTTTAAATATTTATGATTACAAGGAATGAGGTAATGTCTACCCCAACATTAACCCAAACCTACCACAAACTAAACTTAAAACACTAATCACTAAACCCTAAAAAAACCCCAATCCAAATATCAAAATATACAGATCCAAATAAAATAGTAACAAGGAAATTAATAACATAGTACATATTGTTCAAGTAGAATAGTACAACCGGAAACTTACAGTATATACGAGTGGTGGTGGTTACGGTGGAAGAAGTGGAGACTGGTATCATGAAGATTGTAGTTGTTTTGAAAGATCTAATGGCAAAACTATAAAATCTAAAATTAAAGATCTGGTTAATAACTAAAAAAAATGATGATGATAGAAAAAAAGATGGTGATTAAAGACACAATAAATATAAACATGGTGTGAAGTTAGTGATACTGTATCATAATCCGACGGAAGGTAAGGCGGTGGGAATAGAAAGAAAATGTTGGTAGTTGATAATTAAAGAAAAAGAAAAAAAAATACTTTTTGGCTTCCATTAACCGGTAACTAAGAAGGGTAATATAGTATATATTTCATAAATAATGAAGAAACTTTATTTTTTAGCTAGATAGTTTATTATGATTTTTTTTTTTGTGGCTATACAGTCCAATTCTCCTAATTAAAATGAACGTTGTGAGATAAAATGTTATACAATAAATTATTACACCAACAACGATATTAACAATCTCAATCATTAACAATCTCAAAAAAAAAAGAAAAAAAAAAGAAGATATTAACAATCTCAATCATTATCTTTTTTTTTGGCTAAATCTCAATCATTATTTACAAAAAGCAAACACAAAACAATGAACAACCAAATTAAAAAAAAAAAAAAAAAAAAAAAAATGGATGAGTATGACAACCCCGAAACAATGAACAACCAAATAAGTTGTACTTTTACCGATAATGACCACATTGCATGCAACAAACAAGTCTCCGCATTTTAAATATTAAAAGGCAACAGTAGTTTTGTTATAGTGATTAGCCAAACAAAAGGCAGCCGCTGAGGCTACCGCTCCTATAAAAGCCGTTTCAAACGCACTCTTAAATGGTCTGCTGCGTCTGGATTGTCCTTTTCCATAGCCGAAGATGAAGAGAGTCAACAGAGTTAGAGCATCTACAATGGCGAATCCTTAAGGAGAATCATTAGAGAAATATTAATTTTATAATCTGTAGGTCCCATGAATAGTTAAGAATTTTATCTTTAAAATCTTTATTTAAGGATTGATCCTTACATTATTTACGTGCTCCACTGTCCACATGGTGGCCTGCGAATGGTCAGTTTTTTTTGTTTTAAAGAAAAAATCCGAAATATCATTTTATAATCCGAAATACCCTTTTTTTTTTTCTTAAAGATTCCCCTTAAAGACTTTCCATTGTGGATGCTCTTATGACCACAAACTCCACTACCGCATCCATTGCTTGTGGTATGAACATTTAGGGAAATAGCAGTATGAAACCAGCAAGAAAATACACCTGTGTGACACAATCAATTAACTTAAAATTTTGACAAACGAGGTTACGATATACATCGATGATAGCTAAAGATTGTTAAAGTTGATTAAACCAATTCAATAAAACCGAACCGGCCGAGTTCATGCAAAATCGAACATAATTATGAATTCGAATAACTAGGTGTTCTGTCTGCACGTGAATCTACATATTTTGTAATTACTTAATAATAAATTTATTTCTAGTTAAAATACTATAAGGATAAATTATTATTTCTGTTTTCATTTGAAAATTCTTTTGTATTATGATTTTTTTTATAAATTCTTATTTATACACTGTATTCATTATTAATAAATAAATCATAGAATTCAATTAATATTATCTTTTCAAGTATATAAATTACGAAAAATTGTCAAAACTAACACTGTCATTAGTATTTTTTTTTTCATTTTTACCTTAACCATATTTACCCTTGATTTTAAAAAGGTAAATAAACATTTATAAACCTAGAATTAACTAATCTACATTTAAGATTTAGATTTGAGGGATGGGGTTTTGGAGAGTAGAATTTAGAATTATAATTAAAATATAAATAATATTTTAAATTAAAAGAATTTCAAAAAGAATTTTTGAATTTCAAAATGAAAATTTGAAAAACAAATAATCAAAAATATCAAAAATAAAATTAAAAATTTGTTATTAATTTATATATTTTGTGTTATATTCATTAATGGTATAAATGGTATTTACCATTCTAACTCTTAACATGTCGGACGCGAAATATCATTTCTAAAATAATAGTGCAAATTTACTTTTGAATTTATGTTAGGATGAAAACCAAATGGTCCAAACCCACACATAGCATATCAACCCCCATCAGGAGTGTAAATTCTAGTTCGCTTGAGATATTTACATAAAAAGAAGCAGAAATTTTCTGAAAGTAAAATATTAACTTTTTTTATAAATTCATTTCATCTTCTTTTTTTTTTGAAACTTGAGGAAATATATTGGAAGATCTAGGACCCAAATCTAATAGTCAATATTAGTAGTATATACATCAATAAATTATAATAAAAAACTTATCATTATCTATATATTATTTCATACTCCCTCCGTTTGTTTCAGAATAAGTGTCGTTTTATAATTTCAATGCAAAATTTATTGATTTTAAATGTTATTATATTTTTTCATTGGTTGAAAAGTGGTTAGGTGTATAGGTAATTGTATTTTTATTTTGAAAATATGTAAAATTAATTGTTTTCTTAATCTGTGGACAAAAGTATAGAATGCCAATTAAACTGAAACGGAGGGAGTATTACTTTAGAAAATTAGATTAGATCATTCAGTATATAAACTAGTCATATAACTTATTTTTATGAGAGACAATAATTCTTCTAATTCTATATTTTCATCAATTTGATAGGGTATGAGAGGGGATCCAGATATTGACCTATTAATCCGGTTCAAAAAGTGGGCTGATCATCCCACTAGAAACACAGAAAAGCAACTACACAATGTATTTTTGTAGTAGTTGTTGTTGTTACAATACTGGGACTACATGCCTGGCACTGTGCCCAAGCCAAGACAATTTGGGCATTCTTTGACGCCAACATTTTTGGCCACAACATCACTGTCATTTGTTTTGCTTTGGTTCAAAACATCTTCATTGAGCTTGAACCTAGTAGCTGAACCAGCCTGGTAGACTTCGACGGCATAGATGGCACCCTGCCCCAATGAAGTCACGGTACCCACAAGAACTCTCTTACCATCGTTGAATCCATCAACCATCTGCAATTTGAGAGAAGAAACAGCAAAAAAAAAAAAAAAACCGATGATAATCAGTAGTCATATTTGTTGTGTTGTGTGTTTGAAGTAAAAGATAGAAAAATAACCATGGTCCTGAGGTTCTGGTTCCGGGGAAGAAAGATATCATTCCTAGTGTAGGCGCCGCTATGATGCAGAAGGGTAACCTGAAATGGGCAGGGCAGGGAATCAAATTGAAAGACAAAACAAAAAAAAACGGATTGGCATGAGCAAAAAGAAGAAGACATACAGAATTATCCTTGTAGGAGATACCAGTCAACTGGTAAAGATCACGGGTCACATCTGGAACCTGAGAGAAGAAACAATCTTGTATGAGGATTATATTATGAATGAATATATATATATAGAGAGAGAGACCGTTTTATGACATACAACAAACTCTGTGGAAGGGGGAACAATGCTATGCACGATGAAGCCAGTTAATATATTCATGGTGCGAAAGTGACAAAGGCCTCTCTTCGTGTAGAGATCAAGAACCTGAAAGAGAAAACGAAATTAATAAAATTTGGATCTTAAATTAGACAAACTAAACAGAAATCACAAGACTGAAGGAAATAGATCTGATTACAGATCGAGGCCATACCCTGCATGGTTTCCCAGAGAGGTCGATGTGGTCATTAATATCGACGTCACTGGCCAAGATCTTACTAGCCCTGGAAGCTCCGGCGTCACTGGACTCCGTCATGATTTACCACGCGAGAGAGAGAATGAAAACCGATTTCTAGATGCTTTTCTATCTTTGTTTTTCTAGGGTTTGCTGAACGAGATCATTCAACCCTCCAGGTTTACGTATGTATAGCCTTTTATCTCATCTTGACAGTGAAATTTATTTGGTCAAACAACCACTCATGTGGATGAACCAAACGACGTCACTTAGAACAAATTTATTTTTGTCCACATTTTCATTCATTCATTTGATAAACATTTTTTAAACCAGAGGAAACATCCCTATTCGTTTACAGGTTTATTTGGTTGTATTTTTCTTGTTTGGGCCAAGGACTGGGTAAAAAAACAAACCAAAAAATCTGAACCGAACCCAACCCGATAAAAAGAAATTCAAATCGATTTGAACCTAATATAACTACCGAATAAATCTTGTTTTACGATATTACGAGTTATGGATTTTACCCGAACCGAACTCGGACTTAAATGAATATCCGGAAAAACCCAAAACTTTAGAATTCCAAAAAACTTGTACCATACCCAATCTAAATTTCTAATAGGTTTGCAAACACACATTAATATATTATTGAGTACCTACAATAATTAGTTACTAGATGATAACCCGCGCGCATGCGCGGGGTGAAATTTTTAGACTAATATTTATTCATAAAATGGTTTTTAACATTTTGCAATACTACAGTATTTATCGATTATAAAATGATGAATACAAATGTTGGTATCTTAAATCTTCATAGGTCTGGACGTTTGAGACTTCGTCGGTTTTAGTTTGATTGACACGTATGTTCAGATTTTGGTATTATTATCATAGCTCATATTTGAATTTTACTAATTATCGGATTGGATACGATTTGATCTTCTAGATTCAGTTTGGATTGGATTGTAACCAATATCTGAAATCATTCTAAAAAATATTTGTTAAACATTAAAAGTTGAAAAAAAAATCAAAATATTTAAACTATTAATAAATCTAATTTAAAATTAGTTAAATTATCTAAACAAACTAAAAGATATTAAAAAAAGAAGCAAATAAAACAAACTACAAAAATCTTTCGAATACTATAATTTGTATCTACTAACCTCAAACCTTTTCACTGAAATTTTTAAATTAACATATTTATAGTATGAATATCTACTAATGATACTTCATATTCGTACGATTTATGATAANAACTACAAAAATCTTTCGAATACTATAATTTGTATCTACTAACCTCAAACCTTTTCACTGAAATTTTTAAATTAACATATTTATAGTATGAATATCTACTAATGATACTTCATATTCGTACGATTTATGATAATTTGTATCTTCTTTGGAAAAAAACAAATTTAAACCATTGATCATAAAATTTTCAATGTGGGATTTTACTATTTTTAGTTATTTAGGGTCATTTTAAAAAATTAAAAATATAACCTATAAGAAAAAAATTAATTTTTTATTATATATTTAAATGTGATTGTTTAATTTATTTTAATAATTTAAAATTAAACAAAAAAAAAGAGAGGATACAAAAATATGTATTATTCATAATCATTAATTACATATATATGTTAATCATATTAGGTAATTCCGTAGCCTTTATTTAAGGAAATAAAATATATTGTTTTATACCGATCAGAGTTGGTCCCTTAAAAATGTCTATATATTATAGTTCTAAATGCAAGAAATTAAATGTTACATTATTTCATTCCTAGCAAAGTTGGTCCATTAAAAAATTAAAGCTGAGAAACTCTGTGAGCTTGACACGTAAGCATGCTCTCCAAGGTTGCGCATTTATGAATGCTTCAGGATTAATATATAAGGGATTATATGAATAATTAACTCAAATATTTAGTCTAATATATAGTTTTATTTGGTTAATATTAATATTTATGATTGACATTATATTTGAAGTTAAGTTACGAATAAATTTGTTTTGAAGTTTAAATAATTTTTTTTATTTTGTAAAGTTTAAATAGCATTCTTAAGTTTATAGATCTGTTAGTTGTTAACTTTAACTTTTTATGTGTTGTTATGTATGATATTCATTACTACAAGGTTTTGCTTTGTCATTAATCATAATATGTTTAGTGTTGTCACATATAGTTCAATGACAAATCTTATATGGTTGATATACGAGTTTCATAATATTATTTTGAAAGACAACAATATGGTTTGAAGAAGCTAAATACACAAATTTAATAAAACGATTAAAAATATATTGAATTTAATCGAGTATATTAGTATTTTTAGAACCGATAACCCGATTAGTATCCAAAACCATTTCGGATTCAAATCTTGGACATGTTACTACATCTGAACAAACCCGATTTAACCCGAACTGAATCCGACCCGAATTTTATAATATTCAAATGAGATTGAAATTCATGAATTCGAAAATCCGAAACCCGAGTGAACGCGAACCGAAAGCCGATTGGGACCCCGATATCAGCCTAGGCCATTTCAGGTTTTTTCTTAACTGAATCAATAATTGCAAAAATACCGAATGTATTTGAAGTGATTACATGGTGTAGTAGGGACGCCGGGATTATGAAAACATATGAAAACATTCAACCTATGGTTTACTCAGGACACATACATCCACAAGTATTAGCTGGCAGCCTTGTATTGTCGATCTATAGATAATCAGTGTTGTCCTACAGTTTATGACTGCCATATGTGATTAAAAAATGAATCATAAAATTACACTAAAAATAATTTATAATATATAAAATAAATAAATAATAATAATAGATGTGCAATAGAGAGAAAATTCTTTAACAAAAACAATAGAGAGAAAACCTATAAAGACTTAAACAAACAAATGTATTAGTTATAAGTTATAACAATACTAAAGTTAAATTCCCTCTACGGGCAAACGAGCTAGTGGAAAAAAAAAGAAAAAAATACATCTTAAATTTTAATATACGTTTAAAAATAGTTAGTGTAAATAAATAATATTAATATTAATATTTGTTTTTGTTGTTCTTGTTAGATATCATGTGCTTATCTAATTAATAAGAAGTATTTCTTTATAATTAATATAATTATCCTATATTTTTAATGTTTGTGAAAACATAGAGTAATCTTATTGGATACCCCTTAACCTACAAATGAAATCTCAAGACTCCTCTCTTTAAATATTTTTTTTTAAACTATATTAATTCAAAATAGGTCACTTACATGTTTACCCTCTTTTACTATTTTTAATATACACTAGATCTTGACTCGCACTACCGTACCGGTTTTCTTTTAATCATAGTTTATATAATAATTTTACCAATAAATAAATTTAGTTTAATTTTATATAATATTTAACTTTATAATACTGTTTGTGTAATTAATAGTATTATTACTATAGAATTTTATAAATTTTTATTTTGTAAATCATCCATTTAGAAAACATTCTTATCTAACAATATTATTTGAAGTTTTTTTTCTTGTTTTAAAATGTGAAATATGAGGGAAAATGATATTAATTTGGACGTACATGATAGATAATGATTCTTTTGAGATAATGTTAAAACATCAAAATTTATTTTTTGGGATACTATTTTTGAATAGTTTAGAGTTGAATAACTTTTTACTAACAAATATTGTAAAATATAAATATTTTTTATTTATAAAAATTATTCAATGTAAAATTTTAATATCATTAAAATATAATTTTAGTTTTTTTTTAGAAATGAAAACTAAATTTAATTTTTAATTGTATTTATGTTAATTAAAATTTAAATTAACTAATTTCAGAAATCTATTTAAAAAATATTTTAAAAGATTTTAAGAAGATTTTGTTAGAATTTTCTTTAAAATATTTTTATTTTAAATACAAAATACGATATCAAAAGATGATGTAGTTAAATTATATAAAATATGATAAACTTTCGGATTTTGTTAAAAATTTCTTAAAAAATATTTTTATTTTAAATAAAAAATACGATATCAAAAGATAATATAGTTAAATTATATAAAATATGATAAATTTTCTTATTGATGGTTTAAAATAATATATCACACATAATAAATGTCATAATTTATATTTTAATAAGTACAAATAGATTTTCATGATCAGTTTATTCTTCTTTTTTTTCTTTTCTTCTTTTTTCTTTTTAATATAGAAGGTTTGAGCCCAAACCCATAATTATTCAAGCCCAAGACCATATTATTATGTAATATTAGTTTCGTCTCAGCATTTTTACAATTAAATGGTTTTCTTCTTTGATATTTGATGGTTTTCTCTACTCTTTCGTCTTATTATATTTAGGATTTTTCAGTTTAGAGCTTTCTCTTTTTATTTTTAGTAAATGTGGAGCTCTCAGTTTTTTTTTTCAAGTTAAGATTATGAGTTTTTTTCTTCTCTTTTGACATCATTTTTTTCTTGTGATTTCTTCCTTTTCGTCTATTTTTTAATGATTTATGTATTCACCGTGTTTTTATTTGATCTCATATATTTATGTGAATTTAAAGAACTTAGTATAACTTATTCGGTAGAACTATCTTAGTAGACCTTCCTCAGTATAATTTTGTACAATTAAGTCAGTTGAATTCAGTAAAATTGTGTATGTATAACTAAAAATAACTCAATCATTTTATATTGGTACAATGTAGTTGGACCAAGTTAAACGTCAATAATTAAATTTTGAAATTTCAGTAAAACTATATTGATATAATGTACCAACGAGCAACAGTAAAATCAAATTTTCATCTTTTTTTTTTTATAGAAATGAAAGGTATGTAATTGATCTAGAAATTGATTGGGTTATCTATGTCACCAAAATATACTAATCTTTTTTGGTCACACATCGAAAATATTTCCAGAGTTAAACATATTTCACCTGGAGTAGATGTAACCTATCGTAAAATGATTTACAATTTCGAAATATCGTACAGGTGAGGCAGAATATCATTTTGAATTGGGATTTGACTTAAAACTCTTTAGTCTTAGATCCTTTTGTTTTTTAAACTTTATGTAGCCTTAGGTCCTTAATCTCGAGGAACATTTATTTTGTTTTAATATTTTTTAAGAGAAATAAAACAAAACACAGAAAAGCAACTGTATAATGTATTTATGTAGTTGTTACAATATTGGGATAACCAAAGATTTATCAGGTTCGGGTTCATAAAATGTCTGGAATTGTGCCCAAGCCAAGACAATTAGGGCATTCTTTGACGCCAACATTTTTGGCCACAACATCACTGTCATTTGTTATGGTCTGGTTCAAAACATCTTCATCGAGCTTGAGCATAGTGTCTGAACCGGTCTGGTCGACTTCGACTTCGACGGCATAGACGGCATCCTGACCCAGTGAAGTCACGACACCCACAAGAACTCTCTTATCATCGTTGAATCCATCAACCATCTGCAGTTTGAGAGAAGAAACAGAAAAAAAAAAAAAAAAAGCGGTGATAGTCAGTAGTCATATTTGTTGTTGTTGTTGTTGTGTGTTTGAAGGAAAAAACAGAAAAATAACCATGGTCCTGAGGTTCTCGTTCTCCGGAAGAAATATATCATTCCTAGTGTAGGCGCCGCTATGATGCAGAAGGGTGACCTGAAATGGGCAGGGAATCAAGTTGGAAGACAAAACAAACAAAAAAAACGGATTGACATGAGCAAAAAGAAAAGGACATACAGAATTATCCTTGTAGGAGATACCAGTCAACAGGTAAGTATCACGGCTCACATCTGGAACCTGAGAGAATAAACAATCTGTATGAATGAATAAATTAAGAGAGGGGAGATACATGCACACAGTTTTATGACATACAACAAACTCTGTGGAAATGGGAACAATTCTTCGCACGGTGCAGCCAGTTAATATATTTATGGCGCGAAGGTGACAAAGGCCTCTCTTCGTGTAGAAATCAAGAACCTGAAAGGGAAACGAAATTAATAAAAATTTGGATCTTAAATTGGACGAAACAAAACCGAAATCACAAGACTGAAGGAAATAGATCTGAGGCCATACCCTGCAGGGTTTCCCAGAGAGGTCGATGTGGTCACTAATTTCGATGTCTCTGGCCCGCCGTAAGTTTCCGATCTTACTAGCACTGGAAGATCCGACGTCACTCATGATTTAGCACGCGAGAGAGAGAGAGAGAACCGATTTCTAATAGATGTCTTACTATCTTGTTTTCTAGGGTTAGCTAAGATCTTTCAAGTTTTAATTTGGCGGAAGAACCAAAACGACGCCGCTTAGGATGAATTTATTTTTTTATCTACCATTTTCATTCATTTGATTTAACATTTTCTTTTAAACTTTAATATTTATATATATATATTTTTTTAAAAAACTTTAATATTTATATACTAAGACTAACCACAAAAAGGGTGTCATAACAAAGCTTCCGGCTAGCCAGCAGAGAAACCTTTGTACCTCACAAATCAATTAGGCTCTTTGCGGAAAAGTTGGGAAACACACATCGTAAGGGAAAAAATGTAGACTCAAAGAACCGTAATCAGACCTTATCATCACCTGAGTGGCGGCCAAAATTGACTTCAGCGAGGTCAAGCCGACCACTGTCCTTTCGCTTCCTTCTCAAAATAAGTGTCAACCACCGAAACTTTCCAATAATCGGTATGTCTAATAGTCATGGGCATTTGGGTCGGTTCGGTTTATTCGGTTTTTGGGTTATTCAGGTTGGGATGTTGAGGAACCATTTAAGAACCAGACAATTTTTGGATCGGTTCGGTTCAGATAATGTCGGGTTTGGATCAGGTTTCTATTTTTTTTTATAAAACCTGAAGTGGAACCGTATTAAAAATAATTCGAGTTAGTTAGGGTTCGAAGCCCAATAAACCGAAAAAATCCTGAAAACCCGAGTTAAACTTGGAAAACCCTGAAAACTATTCGGGTTCTTCGGGTAGTTCGGATTTGTAGATATTTTTATTTATAAATTATATTATATATATATATATATTAAAATTAACAATAATTAATATTTTTAATATATTCAAAATATTCGGGTACCCGTTCGGCTTTTGGTTCGGTTTCGGTTTTTCAGATTTAGAATATAGGAATCGTTTGGGTTTTTGTGATTTTTAGACCGGTTTTGATATCAGTTTTTTCGGTTCGGTTCCGGTTTGGTTTTCGGATTTCGGATAATATGCTCAGGACTAATGTCTAACATAAACATGGGAAATCAAAACAGACCACAATGTTGAGAGGAGCTGTCATACCGAGCTTATCCATTTCCCTAGCATAAGCTATAAACCATAAAAGGAGAAACGAGGAGGTCAGCTCCAAACCCACGAACCATGAATCCGTCCGTTCCTTGACGAGGAAGCTCAAGCTTCGATAATCACATAATGAAACTAAGCAAACAAGGAAACGTAAAAGATCCATTATCTATGAATTATCAGAGCGTTTTAGAATATGAATGTTTAAAAAGAGGAAACATCCCTAATCATTTACAGGTTTATTTGGTTGTCTCTTCGTAGTTTAGACCATTTTTGGTTTTTTTTTACTGTTACTGTTACAGGTTTAATAGGGACGCCGGGATCATCCGACAAGATATAAAACATTCAAGCTATGGTTTACTCAGGACACATACATCCACAAGTATTAGCTGCCTTGTATGGTCGGCCTATAGATAATCAGTGATTCAGTGTTGTCCTACTGTTTATGACTACCAATTAATATATTAATTTATTAAAAATTACAGTAAAATCATGAAAAATAATATCCAAAGTTTTAATATATGTTTAAAAATGTTTACTGTAATTGAATAATACTAATATTCAATACTTGATTTTTTTGTTCTTGTTATATCACATGCTTATCTAATTAATAAAAAGTATTCCTTAATAATTAATATGCATACTAATAAAAAATTATCAAAATCATATCAACCAAAACAATTATGATTTAAAAAGAAATATATAGTTAGTTTTAAAGAATTAATACTTGGTGATCTGTTTATTTTTTATTCGTTACCTTTTGAATAAGATATTTCTAATTTGGTTATCTTATATATATATATATAATTAATGTATTGTTTACTAAACAAACTTATTATAATTGTATTAGTTATCATATGTTAATAATATATATTTTATTTAAAATATATATTGTGCATTATAATTTTTGATCAAGCAACATTCAGTCATTGAAACTCTATTTTAAATAAAAAAAAATTAAAATCTAAAAATATATTAAATATGTTACTATAATCATTTTTTATTTTTTACTATAAGTAATTTGAAAAAAAAATTATTTTTGTATAAATGATAATTAGCCTTTTGTATTTATTTAATTTATGTGTAAGTTAATAGTATGTTACTATAAATGAAAAAGTGGAAGCTTATATTTATTTTAAACATATATATATATATATATATATTTATTTAAATTACAAAAATAAATATTAAAAGATGTAGTATTCACATAAATGACTAACCATCACCAGAAGAAGAAAATTAACTTTATATATGTAAAATATATTACTATATTCAAATTAAATGTAATTTTAGTTTGTAGAATAAAATGAAAAATAACTTCATATTCTTTTAAATCTATGTTAGTATATCTAAATCATTATAACAAAATGATATTTTATATTCATTTTACAAGGATTAATTTGAGTTTCAAAATTTAAGTATTAAATAATATGGTACACATGTAGATGATAATTTGTCATCGCCGAATTGGTGTACCATAAAATGATTTAAGCATATGTTTTACATTTACTATTATGAGTCTTTATTTTTCCCAATCATAGAACCAGAGCCGGTCCTAGTAATTAGGAGGCTAGAAGCCAAAATAAAAAATGTGGCCAGAGAGGTTCGAACTCATGACCTTACAGTACCTGAAGCAACAACACAACCACTATGCTACTGAGAACTAATTGTCAAATGTGGCCGTTTATAATCTTATTATTTGGCGGCCGGAAGCACAAGCTTCATTGGCTTGCTTCCAAGGCCGGCTCTGCATAGAATCCGGTGGAAGAGAAGGTCGACAACTATTGGAAATATTGCAATCATCTGAACGAATGAAAGGACTTCAGAAAGGCAAGTGCCAACCATCACAACGATTATGAGTTCTTCAAAAAGAAAAAAAATACAATTACAATTCAATCACGGATATATATACATTAACCTAACGATGACATCAATTCACTATAATGAACTGAGGTTCGATGAAAAATGCAGGCTGGTGGCGGTGGTGTTTATGAACGATGTGAAAGCGTATAAGGCTTGATGATATTTCCATTGATCACAGTAGAATATATATACATGGAGAACATATCTAGCGTATCAGATTCTGATTTGATATTATCATATCCTAACTAACACTCCCCCGCAGTTTGATCGGAGATTGTCGAACGTTCAAGCTGGAACGGAACTCTGTGAACAATGGAGAAGGAAGTCCCTTCGTAAAGATGTCAGCGTATTGCTGCTGAGTAGGAACATGAAGAACACAGACATGGCCCAGAGAAACACACTCGCGTACGAAGTGGAGGTCGATCTCGATATGCTTAGTACGCTGATGTTGCACTGGATTTGAGGAGAGGTATAAGGCTGAGATGTTGTCGCAGTAGACAAGTGTAGCTTTGGTGAGGGGAATGCCGAGCTCAAAGAAGAGATTTCACAGCCATATTGTCTCTGCCACAGCATTGGACACGCCGCGATACTCAGCCTCAGCGCTCGAGCGAGAGACCGTGTTCTGTCGCTTAGACGACCAAGAAATGAGACTATCACCGAGGAACACACCGTATCCATAGTTTGATCGGCGTGTGGAGGGGCAGCCGGCCCTGTCCGCATCTGAGTATGCGACGAGATCGGTGATTGATGATTTCTTGAGTTGAAGTCTGTGCGTCAGGGTACCTTTTAGGTAGCGGAGAATGCGCTTAAGTGCTGTTAGGTGTGCTTCACGAGGGTCGTGCATGAATAAGCAGACCTGTTGAACAGCAAACGAGATGTCCGGACGCGTGAATGTGAGGTATTGAAGTGCGCCTGCTAAGCTTCTGTAGAGAGAAGGATCAGCTATGGGTTTGCCGTCGTCAGGAGCTAGCTTGGACTTTGTATCCACTGGTGTGAGGCAGGGATTACAATTTGTCATTGATGCCCGGTGAAGTATATCAGCGGTGTAGTTTTGTTGGCTCAGGAACATGCCAGAGTCGCTGTATGTAACTCTGATGCTGAGAAAGTAATGGAGAGGGCCAAGGTCGGAGAGGTCAAATGCAGAAGATAATGCCGAGATGATCTTCTCAAGCAGAGCAGAGTTTGATGCCGTGAGGATTATGTCATCAACGTAGAGGAGCAGGTAAGCCATGTTGGAGCCACGGTTGATGACAAACAGCGACGGATCAGATCGACTTTGCGTGAAACCAATTTTCTTGGCGACTGTAGCAAATTTTGTGTACCAGGTGCGAGGTGCCTGTTTGAGCCCGTATAGTGATCGACGAAGGAGGCATACATGGTTTGGTTTGTACTTGTCCATGAAGCCAGGTGGCTGGTGCATGTAAACTGCCTCCTCAAGGTCTCCATGGAGAAATGCATTCTTCACGTCAAGTTGTCGAAGAGGCCAGTTTTTAGACACAGCGATATGTAGAAAGGATCGGATTGTTGCTGGCTTGACCACTGGACTGAATGTATCATCGCAATCGATACCAGGCTGCTGAGATTTGCCATTTGCTACCAAGCGCCCTTTGTGCCGTTTGTGAGTGCCATCTGCATTAAACTTATGACGAAAAAGCCACATACAACGAATAATGTTAGTATTAGGCGGGCGTGGTACAAGATCCCACGTTCCGCGTTTAACATGAGCATCGTATTCCTCCTGCATAGCACTATTCCAGTAAGGGTCCTTTGCAGCCTGTATATGAGACAAAGGAAGAGGAGAAACAATATCTGTATGGAGGCATAAAGGAACTCTAGGTTTAGTGATACCAGCTTTTCTCCTAGTCACCATCGAACGAGTATTAGTCGACGGTGCTGGTGGCGAAGGAGTGCCAACCAGAGGAGCGGGAGGAATAATGGCCGGAGGAGAGAGTGGTGGTGGCAAGGGTGTAGAAGAAGGAAGAGTTGGGAGAGAATGAGTACCCGAGAAAGGAAAGACATCTTCGACAAAAGTGACATGGCGAGATATGACAATCTTTCGAGTTGCAAGAACCAAGCACCTATAGCCGCGATGATTGGACGGGTACCCTAAGAAGACACATGCCATTGAGCGAGGAGCTAATTTGTGAGGCGATGTGGATAATGTGTTTGGGTAACAAAGACAACCAAAAACCCGTAAGTGAGAATAAGAGACAGGAGAATGAAAAAGACGAGTAAAAGGAATTTCATTTTTGATAGAAGAGGAGGGTAGGAGATTTAAAGTGTAGACTGCAGTGTGAAGTGCCTCAACCCAAAACGAGTATGGCATGTTCGCTTGAATGATGAAGGTGCGAACTAAGTTATTGATGGTACGAAGCATTCTCTCAGAACGTTCATTTTGTTGAGACGTATGCGGGCATGAGAAACGAATGTTGGTACCGGTGGATGCCAAGTGGTCAAGAAAAACTCGGCTAGTATACTCACCACCATTGTCACACTGCAAAGCTTGAATAGATTTATGAAATTGAGTTTTAACATAAGCTGAAAAATGAAGAAATTTGACAAAGGTCTCACTTTTACGATGCAAAGGTCTCACTTTTACGATGCAAAAGATATACCCAAACATAATGAGAGAAATGATCCAAAAATAAAAGATAATATTTGAATCCAGAATTGCTAGACACAGGAGAAGTCCAAATGTCAGAATGAATAATTTGAAAAGGTTCAGTAACCATAGTAGAAGATGACATAAAAGGAAGACGACTGTGTTTACCCATCTTGCACGCATGACACAAAGTAGTCAAGTCGGCAATATTATTTGAAAAACCCAAAGAAAACAAAAAACGATTGATGGAGCTACCCGGATGACCTAAACGCCGATGCCAAAGAGGAGCACCTGCGGTGAGAGCCATTGGAAGAGAAGAGTGAGATGGTGTCACCGAGTAGAGAGGACCTGGACTGTCAGATCGGAGCAGAGTCATCCTGGTGAGCAGATCCTTAACAGAGAAACCAAGAGGATCAAATTCAATAGAACATTTGTTTTCAGTGACAAATTGTCGAACAGAGATGAGATTTTTAATAATGGAAGGGCAAACAAGAACGTTTTTAAGAAAGAGTTTTCGAGAAGAAAAAGGGATCTCTGTGTTACCCATTTTGGTTACACGAGCGAGGGACCCGTTACCTACAAGAACCGAAGGAGTTATGCTCGTGTTAAAAACGGAATTTAGGGTACCTTGATCCGCAGTGATGTGATTCGTTGCTCCGCTGTCCATGTACCAAGGCGTAGCAGCAGGATCCTGAAGGCTCATTGTGTTGAAAGCATGAGCAAGAGCCTGAGGAATGAGTGTTGGAGTTGCGACTCCGTGAGCTACGTGAGACTCGGGGAGCTGCTGAGGCGAGTATGGTCCAAGTATGCTGCTGCTTGGTCGTTGTTGTTGTTGCTGTGCTTGAGCCGCCTGGAATTGTGGATACGTTGGTGGATAAGACATCGGATGCGGTCCTCCAGGATAGTAAGGATATGGCCACTGTGGTTGTCCATAGTTCCAAGGACGGAACGCGACGTTTTGAGAGCTCGAAGTGTTGTTGTTGCGGCCACGTCCACGATTCGAACGTCCCCCACCACGGTTGTTGTTGAAGTTGCGATTGCGGTTGTTATTTCCTCTGTCGTTGTTGTTTTGACGATTCTGAGAAGAGTTAGCATCCGCAAAGAGAACGTTTGGTGACGATGTAGTGGCGGTGGTAGAGACAACAAGGCGCGGTTGTTTAGTGAGTCTTTCTTCCTCAGCAAGCAACATTGACCGTGTTGTATGGAAGCTTGGAAATGGACTGCGGTGACGGATGACATTGTGTATGCCATCAAACTTGTTGTTCAACCCGTTAAGGCAATGCATGACAAGTTGTCGATCTGTGACTGGGGATTCAACATTCGCAAGGAGGTCAGATAGCGATTTTAGTTTCCGACAGTACTCCTGAACATTCATATCACCGATGGTGATTGTGCGAAGCTCGTTCTCAAGCTGTAACGCTCTGTTTTCTTTATTGTCGCGGAATAGATTCTCGAGCGTGTTCCAGAGATCACGAGCTGTACTTTTGGGAGTAAGGATGGTCTCGACAAGTGAATCAGTGATCGTGCCGTAGATCCACATCTTGACTAGGCCATCACGCTCTTTCCATGTTTTCTCTGTTGCCGGAGTTGGAGCAGAGGAGCCGTCAAGGTGATCGATGACTCCAAAAGTGAGACAGTGAGTCTCAAAGATCTCTCTCCATACATCGTAATTCATCTTGTCAAGGTTGAGCACAATAGGTATGTATGCTCGAATTTGACTGATACGGAACGGTTTCTCAATACCGGTATCGGGGAGATCAGCCATGGCGGATAATCGCAAGAGAGAGAAGAGAAGGTGTAGAGGGAAAGAGACGGAGAGAAGAGAAAAATAAGAGATCGATCGCAGAGAAGAAGCGATTAAGAGAGAGAGCCAAGATCTTTTAGGCTTCTGATACCATGAAAGCGTATAAGGCTTGATGATATTTTCATTGATCACAGTAGAATATATATACATGGAGAACATATCTAGCGTATCTTATCTATACAAGAATATACTGATAATATTCTGATTTGATATTATCATATCCTAACTAACACGATGTCGTAGAAATGGGATGTACTTAGTGGATAGTACAAGATTCCACACACCTTCCTTTAACGTAATAAAAGCGATGCGCATACGTTCACATTACTTTTGTATGTTAATAGAATATGCATCTCACACGGGTGAACATAATGTAGGAGGACAACCACCATGGCTCTTAGAAAAGTACAAAAGCAGAACAACCCCTTGAGACAGAAATCATACGAGAGGTGCACACAAAACATATATGAAAAATCTCTCCACTAAAGGGTATTAATTCCTTCACAAATAAGTACAATAATGATTAAACAGAGTCTAGATTACTTTCATTTACAATTTTTTTGGAGTAATTGGAAAAATGTCAACGGCAAACGACGATAATTTTTATAACATTGATATGAAAATAATTAAAATGAACTTTGTGAAATCAAATATTATACAATAAATTTATTGCACACAACATCGATATAAACAATCTCAACTCTCAAGCATTATTTTTAAAAAGCAAACACCAAACAATGAACAACCAAATAAGTTGTACTTTTACCGGGTTAATGACCACATTGCATGCAACAAACAAGTCTCCACATTTAAAACATTAAAACGCAATAGTAGTTTTTGTTATAGTTGCACCACTTTAGCCAAACCAAAAGCAGCGGCTGAGGCTACCGCTCCAATAAAAGCCGTTTCAAACGCACTCCTAAAGGGTCTGCTGCCTGTGAAATGTCCTTTCCCAAAGCCGAATATGAAGAGAGCGAGCAGAGTTATAACCACAGATGCCACTACCGCATCCATTGCTTGCGGGATGAAGATGTAGGGAAACAGGGGTATGAAACCACCAAGAACATAAGCAATTGCAATCGTGAAGGCGCTTTGTAACGCTCTTTTAGGATCGGGCTTCTCTAATCCCAGCTCAAACCTATGTGAAACAATCAATAATAACTTTAAAGTTTGACAAACAAAGTTATGATATACAATAGCCTATCTTATGTGGAATTAGAAGTGTATACGTGGAAACAAAAGCATATGGAAGCGCATAAGAAAAATTATAAAAAAAATTAGGCATATTAAAAAGTTTTAACCGTAAATCCACATATATCCATATATATTAAAAGTATAAGAATAATTTTATAAAATTTATAAGTAAAGTTATATGTTTCAAATTAAAACATAAATTGTGCATAAAAGTAATATATATTCTTGGTTTAATATTTGCATATTTTTTGTTTTTTTTAATACTATTAATTTTTAGATTTTATATTTCCTATTTATTTATGAAATTGAGATTGCAAAACGAAAACGTAAATTTAAAACAAAAAATGTAAGCTTCCAACGTATTTTTAAACCGATCATTTGGAAGCATATTGGAAACATGATTATGTATACTTTCGTAAGCTTTGATTCTAATTCCAAAGCGGGATGCAGACATCTGAAAAATACTTATGTGCTACCTAGTGATAGCTAAAGATTGTATAGTTTATTAACCAATTCAATAGAACTGAACCGGCAGCCGAGTTAATGAAGAGATCGAACATAACTGTTTCTGAAAATTAAAAGTTGTTTGGATGGAAAACCAAATGGTCTGCATCCGCCGGTAGCATATCAACCCGATGAGAGGTGAAGTTCAAGTTCAATTGAGTTTATACTTATTAGATAAAAAAAAATAACTTTTAATCTTGCCAACACCTGAAAAGTATAACTTATAACCCAGCATTTGCAGAAAACAAAAAGTATTTTCAAATCCAATACAAACAAAGTAACTATTGTTATTAAAACGTGTGATTAAATTATTGAAACCAACCTCATCATAAAATCAAGCCATGCTTGAGGATTGTTACGAAGAGCATTAACAATAGGTGAAGCTTCATGTGGCTCTACTCCATAGTGTGCCAACATCTCTTCCACCTCTGCTGCCTCTGTTAAATCCACATATCGTAAATTGCGTTACACAACTTACGTCTGATATATAATTTCCTCTGATGGACGGTTTGAATTTAGTCAGAAATTGGTCTTACCAGTATCAGGAATGGTCACGATCTCTTCTTGTTCTCGTTTCACCTCTCTCACATAATGATCCGCTTCGCTCTTGGCCGCTAGATACCTAAATTTGTAATTCAAACAAGTTTTATTAAACTACTAGACCGGATATTGTAACTAATAACATATGGTTTACAAAGTATAAATAATAATTGCATGCAAGCATGTTCAGTGCCGAGCTTAGGTAGAATCGAAAGAAGCATGCTTCCAGCCATTAAATATGTGAATATTTTCAGCCTTTTAAGGTTGCATTGATTTTCTATGGGATTTTTTTCGGGAAAAGGTCATTTTTCGACCTCAAAAATTTCGATCGTGTGTTTTTATACCTGAAATTAATGTTAAAATGTATATATGTTTTGTCAAAATTAATTTTTAATTAATATACATTTTATATATTAAATTTTGTATACATATATAATGAAATGATATATGAGTTATTAGTTATTAAAAGATTATAATTGTTTTGAACTAATATAAGTCTGTTACATTACTGATATGGTAGTAGTAGCACAGTGGTCTCTGTTTCCTTTGTTGCTTGATTGAGACCTGGGTTTCGATCCCCTAGAATGACTAATTTTTTTAGAATATTTATTATTTCAATTTGGAACGGAAAACGACATCGTTTTAAGCTTTCCCTTCAAAATTAACGATTGACTAACGGTTTTGTTAGTCAAAGTAGGATTTTGTATTATGCTGTTAAGTTTGGGTAGGAATTTTAAATAATTTAACGGTTTAGGTATGAATTCGCATTTCCTCTTTTTTCAGGTATAAAAACACACGATCGAAATTGTTGAGGTCGAAAAATGACCTTTTCCCGAATTTTTCCTAATATAACATAAAAATAGAAGAGAAAGGTGATGATAGTTTAAAAACATATATTTGAGAGATTCATTCTCTACTTGTCCATTTTCCATTTGCTAATAGTTTTAAACATTTAAATTAATTGACAGAAATTCATTAATTATTTCTTTCAGATGGCCTTATATCACCAAACATTATTTTAGGTTGGTATATAATATGACCCTTGAATATTTAAATAATATAATAGAAAAACAGAAGAAAAAGGGAGAGAAAGAAGAATGGTCTCTTATTTGAAACACTTTCTCAAAGCTTTGAGGTACTCAATTTCAACTTGTCAATTATTCAATAATATTCTCAGTGATAAATCAATATTTTTTAGCCACTAGCTAATCTGAAAATCGATTAAGAGTTATGTTTAACCAAAATATTAAAACGAAAATAAATTATTATTTAACACACAAGTAAGCATATATAACTAGTTTTCCAAGAATCATGCTACCGGTAACCGGTTGATACCATAAGTATACAATTTATGCAAAGGATAATTCATTTTTCTGATTTTCTGTGATAAATAGAAACCGGTCATCAATGCACGTAGTGGTAGCTTTCATAATAACACGTGTGTGACTATGAACTCAAATTTCTAGCATATTGAGTATATATCAAAGCCAAGCAAATAAATATATATATGATTGGAGTACTATAGTTATAAACTAACCCGCCGAGTCCCATGGAGATAGCGCCGGCGGCGACTTCGGCGATACCAGCGGTGAGTATGATGGAAGAAGGGGCATTAGCGCCGGAGAGTCCGGCGGCGAGTGCAAAAGGAACGGTTAAACCGTCAGAAACGCCGATGATGATGTCACGAACGATCTCTCCGGCGGTGAAATGTTTCTCGGTATGAAGATAGAGAAGTGACTGCTTCTCAGGGTCTATAGAGATGCTCGAGGTATTATCTACTTCCGGCCACATTTTGAAGATCAATCTTTTTCTCTCTATTTTTGTTTTGTTTCGTTCTGCTAATATGTTTGTCTATATATATACGCGAAGTATGAAGGGAATATCATTACCGTTTATTTTTTTTATTTTGTTTCGGTTATACGTTTTACATTTTTTTAATATAATGGTTTTCATATTTTATTTTGAAAACATGTTTACTGCCACTTATAACTTTATAAGTAAGCTATTAAAGGTCGACAAAAAGAAAGTAAGCTATTGTAGAAATAATTTAATACTTCCGCCGTCTTTTAATACTTCTTTAATTAGTTCTTTTAGTATTTGATGTTTTGAAGATTTTTTATTGTTCCAACTAGATAATGTTGTTAGTTTTCTCTATAAATTAATCAATTTGCGTATTATATGAACTTTAATATTTTGCAAACTGAATTCAGAATTGTGATTACGTAAATACTAGTTAATGAATTTTTTGTTTAAGAAATATAAAAATAAATAGTTTGTTTATTTTTGTGAATCAGTTTTAAAACGTCATTCAATAAAAACGAAGAAAATAGTTTTCAACAAGTAGTTAAGTTGGCAAAATATTTCTTATACCTTCTTACCTATTAAGTTCGCCACATATACCAGATTACACAAATCTATGGCTGTTTAAAGTTTGATAATAATAAATTTAAAAATATACTTATTTGCTTAACTAAAATACAAGGATACACCATAGACTTACTAAGAGCATTCCCATGGATAAGTATATTACCACTAGTATCTAAAAAATACAATATAATTAATTTTAATATAACTTAAATAATACTTGAAATTTAAACCACCAAAAACTCAGCCATTCATAGAATATCACATATGTAAAGACTATCTACATTTTTTTTTGAAGGTGTCTGCAAAAAAAATGTTTTTCTTCTTTCTCCACCCTTTTCTTACTTTTTTTTATGCTTGAAAAGGTTTACATACTCAGGTAAGATGTTTTTGTTGGAGTTGCCTTAAGAGCATATATTCATCATGCTTCTAATGTAAAGTTCTTCAGCACAAAAAACGTAAAATAATAGAACTGATCTTTCTTACTAGAGATTCTTTACACATCTTAAGAAACTATGAGTCAATATGTAGACTTTTTAATTGATACAGTTTTACTTTAAATTAAACTTACATATAGAATTAAATTCCTTAAAAAATGTTACTAGATTAACAGACAGGTAGCCGGTTGTTTATAGAAAAAAGAAGATAGGTAGCCTAGCCGGTTGGAAAAACCTATTGACAAGGATACTCTTAACTTTTGTACAAACATAAGGTCTTTAGTACATATATTTGTTTTAAAATAAAATACGAAAACTGAGAACTGGTCTTTTAAGAGATTCTTTACACATAGAGATTCTTTACACATTTTTAAGAAACTATGAGTCAATCTACCACTTTTAGTAGATACGATTCCATGACACCTTTATTTTTCAACGTTGAAGGCATAACTATTTTCACTCCCTTTCAAAATTTTTATATTAATTTTCGTTTTTTTTGTTGCATTTTTCCCTTTGTTGAATAATATAAACTATACATAAATTTAATTATTATTTTGTAAATAAGTGATTATATACTATATAAATTGACAATCTTAAATCGGGAATAAGATTTTGATTACAAGTGTCGAGAGTCGAACAAATTTTCCGAATCAAACTACTCTTACTAGCTTCGCCTGAGTCATATCTCTGGTGTGTTTCGATAGTTTGCACTAATAATTCTCGAGAGTCGTTTGTCGTTATCAACCATTGATAATCGATGACCATAGATTGGGTTTTCCCATGTCGCCTCCCGAGTAGATGGCTCGACTTTGAAGTGCAAGGAAGGAGATGGGAGGTTGCAAAGATGTAGTTACGTGAAGTAATCCAGAAATCGCAATAACACACAACCACCCGCCAAAACCAAGCAAGAAGATCGGATTGGAGTTTCAACCGCACCGACCGACCGATCAAATGTAGAAGCTGAGTTGATGTAACTTGGACAGGATTACGAGTGTTTTACAGTGTTTTTTTTTTACCAAATTGATTTATAATATTCGAAACCTAAATACCCTTCAATTTATGAATATTGTAGATCCTAAAATCCACACTCAGTATTTTGTAGAGATCGAGAGTTCAATGAGGGGAAGACAAAGGATGTGGGCAACGATGCTCTTAAACAAAATGATATAATCGGACTTTGGTTGACAAAAATGGACTGTTTATTGAATATGGAATTTGTTTATAAGATGATGAACCAGACCAGAAACAACAACGTAAAGTAAAATCAAAAAGCGAACTAGAATTCTATGGAGTGAGGTCAATGTGATTAATGAATAGTTCTAGGGTTTTTTTCGTTTCTTTTGCACTCCACTCTAGCTTCCTTCTTATAATCCTCTTTTTCTCTAATTGTTTCCATGATCTCTGAGATCTCATCTTGATCTCATAGAGTCTGATCCGATGTCAAATTGGTGATAACTTTTAGATGGGGTTGGACCTATTTAAATAGGTACCGAAATTTGGTCCAAGAAATACTGACCTTGAAAAAAGTACAATAAGCGTATACTCCAATTTCGCCATAAAGTTTTAAAATCGTTTTGACTTATTACTCTTTAACCAACATCCTACCTGGCTATCTCCTCCAATTATGGTGTCAACTATCAAAGATGGATCATGCCTGCTCGTTTGATTGTACGTCGCAAAATGATCCTTCCGAGTTCGTTTTTGGGCTTAATTCAGTTATGGTTGACGTGGTTCAATTTAGTTATTATCTTGCTATTACATTTTTAATTGATTGGCCTTTAATTTTTAAATCGGGCTTAAATTGTTTTCTAGTTGATAGAGTAGTTTCTTGCTAGTTAATCGGGCTTAAGAGTTACACTCAGCCCAAAATCATATTGTTTGGGATTCTTATTTCTTATTATAGAAGGAAACATTTTTTTTTTGCTGAGACTATTATTTACAAATTGTGTTTTACTTTTTTTTACATATTTGTTAATAACTATACTATCCATCAATAATTTACAAAACTAAAATTATACTAAAAACATACAAAATCTCTAAAACTCATGTACAGAAAAGACTAATGTCAGTCATAGCCTAAAATTAGACGAAAGTATTGAAAAATATAATAAAGCGAACCAAAAATAAACCGGAAATCCCACTCTTACCTTTTTGATCAATGAATTGTTTTTGATATAATAAAGCACCGATGTTGCATAGGAATTGTTTTGAGGCTTTTGATAGAAGTTTGAGAGATATATCACAAGCAGCAAAGGTTCCTAATGCTGAAAGTCCATTTGGTGGGAAAACTGTTGTCTTTGGAGGTGATTTTCGCCAAGTGTTGCCTGTTATTCCTAAAGGGAGTAGGGGGCAAATTGTTCAAGCTTCCCTTACTTCTTCAGTGTTGTGGCGCTATTGTACAGTACTTTCGCTAACGAGAAATATGAGGCTATCAGTTGATGCAGACCCTGAAGAGAATGAATCCATCAAAGCATTTTCAGAATGGATTTTGAAACTCGGGGATGGAAAGCTATCAGAACCAAACAATGGTGAGGCTGAGATCAGTATCCCAAGTGATGTACTTCTTATGGACTCAAATGATCATATTGCTTCAATCACCAATGCCATTTATCCATCATTGGTTGAAAATCTAACAGAAGAATCTTTCTTTAAAGATCGTGCAATACTTTGTCCTACTAATGATGTTGTCGAGGAAGTAAACAATCACATAATGGATCTTCTCCCTGGGGATTCAAAGGAATACTATAGCTCAGACAGAATCTGTCCTTCTGATACTACTACAATCAGAGATAATAGTGTGTCCGTTGAATTCCTAAATTCAATAAAATGTTCTGGTCTACCAAACCATGTTCTTAAGTTGAAGATAGGAGTTCCTGTGATGCTTTTAAGGAACATTGACCAGAACAATGGTTTGTGTAATAGGACAAGATTACAAATAACGAAGATGGGAGAACATGTTTTGGCTGCTCGAGTCATAACCCAAATCCAAAGCGGTGATTCAGACAGGATAGTCTATATTGCAAGAACTTTGCTCACACCTACAGATGTGAAATTGCCTTTTAAATTTCAACGCAGGCAGTTTCCCATAGCTCCTTGCTTTGGAATGACTATTAACAAGAGCCAGGGTCAAAGTTTATCTTATGTTGGAATCTATTTGCCAAGACCGGTTTTTACTCATGGACAACTTTACGTTGCTGTATCAAGAGTTAAAAGTAGAAAAGGTCTAAAGATCTTAATTGTTAATGGAGAGGGAGAAAGGGATACCAAAACAACTAATGTTGTTTTCAAAGAGATATTCCAGAAAATCAGATAATTATCATGCATCAAAAGGTACTAATTATTTGGTCTGTCGTATAATATTCATGTATATATTATTGCATAGTTATTTTTACTTTGCTAATCCTATTATTTTTTTTGTAGATTCATTGTTAAAATATGAAAAGTCATGTGAAGGTAAGTTTTAAAGACAACTAACTAATCTGCTTTGTATATAAGTTTTACATGTTTTTGAGAAAACTGTGAGTTTTCAAAAATCATTTATTAACTAATCTTCTTTGACTTGACAGGAAAATTTCAGGTTATTTGCTTTTTTTTTTAATGTTTAATTATGTTTCTAATGTAAATATGAACACCCAACATTTTATGGTTTAGTTTTATTTCTTAATGTTAATACATCTATGCAGTATCTAAACACTTTGGTACTATAATGCTTGGTTATGCATCAGTATTTCAATATATGTCATTGCTTTATTATCTAATATACCTTAATTGAATGTACAAAGGGAATAGATAGAGATTAACTCATGTACCTTCTCTGAATTTTTTTTGTAACACTCTTTATCTGACTCTTAGTTCTTCTTTTTCTCAAGTAACTCTATATCATGCTGCACAAGGAAGGAAATGTTATACGTTGTTTTACAGAACACAGGCAGTAAAAAAATTTCAGAGTAATGCTAGGTTGCTCAGCAGATGTAGAGACAGCTGGTTTCTTTGGCTCCTCTTCACATTTAGCTAGGGCCTTAATTAGCTCTCAATGGTAAAAAAAAAAAACAGAGTTTGCAAAAAAACAACATAAAGTAGAAATCATGCGCATAATTAATTAAGGTCTGTTAACATAACGATGGTCAGCATCATTAATTATGGTCTGTTAACATAAGACCACTCTCCTCTTCACTGTGAGTGTTGCTGTAACTCATTTTTTTGTTTAAATCTCAGGTAATGAACATAGCTTCATTACCTTTATCACCCAGATTCTCTTGGGATTCAACATCCAACTCCATACCCCCTCCAGTACAGTAAAACATCACACTCCTCGAGATCTTCAGGGATACCAATAAGGCAAGACATAGTGCTTCCTCAGATTTCCACCGGAGACAACCTCATATATCAAGAACTGCAAGCAATGCACCTGAAATAACAAATCAGCAAGAAGTTTAAGCACTATGTCTTACCTTCCGTTTCTGTATCTAAAATATTCATGAATGGATACAGAGACCTGTGCTGCTGTTGGGGCAACTGGCCTCGGATAAAAGAAGGTCGCTTTACTTTCATCGCCTACGTGTTGTGAAGATGGAATCTCATGCATAAAGTGTCCGCATATCAGAAAGAATCCTGAATGCAATCACGCATATGACCCAGTGAACAACATGAGGAGCTTATGGCGAGGAAGAGTTCGACGAAGAGTACGAGGACGATGATACACGATCTTCAGGAGTATTTTGTTTTGGTGATACTCACGAGGATTCAGATAACAAACAACATATCTATTTTAAAAATAATTTTAGATTATCAGTAAAATACGTTTAACAGATTTACTTCAATATTATCCATAATTATAATGTATTTACAAATTACTAATTTATTTAAATGTTACAAATATGATTTTCTTTCTTATATAATTTTTATTAGGTGTTGTGCCCGCATATGCGGAAATAATTTTTTTACGAATATTTATTATTTTTTGTTTATTAATTCTAAAATAATATTATAAGTTATTTTCTATAGTTTTAAAAAAACTAAATCAAACATTAAAATATTTTTATATGATTTTTCATTAAAATCTATATGCTTATTATAATGTTGAAAAACATCTACATATAAAAAATAAGTATAATATTCTATAAGATATCTTATGTTTTAAATATGCATGAATGTGGATAATTAGCCTATTAATTTATAATAAATTAACTAATATAATAACATATAAATTTATATCACTAACATAAAATTTGGTTTTAACTAATTTATATATAAATATATAAATTTCATTAAAGGTATGATTAACTTGAACCGTTCCAATTTTTAATACCTAATATTTAATTATATAATTAAAAGTATCTTTATACAAATGTTTTTATTTGATCATTATTTAATTAAAATCAATTTATATTTTAATTTTTAAATTTTGTAATATAATGATATTATTTTTAAAAGCCAAAATCAATTTTATATAAAATTAAGATGTATAAGCATTATCATGTTGTAACAATATTATATTCAGATAATAATAACATATATAAGAATTAGCCTTTTTTTTTGTTTTTTATAAACTTATTATATTAATTATTCTTTATTATCTAAGATAATACCGTATTGTACTTATCTAATTTTATTTTTTAAATTTCGTTTTTAATTATAAAATTAGTTATATATAAAAAAATTATTAAGGGTAAAATAAATATTAACCGCTCCAACTTTTAACGTGAGAGCTCCGTTGCGAAAAATTACTTCGCAAATAATAGTATAGATCTACAAATTTAATCTGTGTTTTTCCTTTAGTTTTCACTATCTTTTTTTTTTTTAACGACAGTTTTCTTTATCTTCTCCATTATCAAATAAGCATAACAACTGAGTTTTTCATCTCTTTTAAGTTTAATTTGATCTGAACCAGTTCCTTCGTATCTACTTTATTTTACAGCACTTCCAAAATTTTATTACTCTTTTTTTTATTAATACTTGAAAGTTCATCATCAAGAAGTTTTTAGATTGATACGGTGGATTGTGGCGGTCGAGTTTAAAATCAGGCCGGGAAGAGATTGATACTGGTACGTGGATGTTAGAGAGATCCAAAGAAGTGAGAACCTTAAAGATTTTGTTGCAGGGTATGCAGAACTTGCAGGTATTATGGTGCGTGTGATGAGTCCATATGGAACTTTGTATGCAGAAACAAAGTAAAATATACACCATAAATATTTGTATTGTTCAGATTTTATATTATTTCAGTTTATGTAGACATGTATAGGAAAAAAGTAATCTAGGTTTATTTAGATCTCTGCAACAAATACTGAATTTGAAAAAAAAATACGGGATTTGTGAAGAGTCCAGTCAATGTTAACATAATAAACTATTGAACTATTTAGGGTTGATAGTATGCCTCTATTGGAATATAGTGGCAGTATGTAGCTTGGATCAAAGGAGGAGGTTATTGTTTTTACCCGGATGATCAGATTCAATTGGTTATTTCCACTGATCATGTTCATTCATCTGATTCTGATGCAATCAGGTCCCACTCTATGGTATGTCAATCATCTACTTAATTCCTGGGATCCATGGAGATTAAGTCTTATGGTATGTCAATCAGGTCCCACTCTATGATACTGAATACTGTCTTGCACTTTTCAGTTTCACATTGCATTCTGCAGTTATCTTTCGAGGAAAGTCTCTCACGTAACAATTTCTTTTCTATATGAAATGCATTTGAATCAAGCTCATCGTTTACCTTCTATACTCAACTTTCTTATGATAAAACCTTTCAAGCCTCTGAGGAAGTCCATCTGCTTCAATGTATTGTTGGTTTTATGGAAAGAGGTTTCTTGCCAGCACTTGAGCCTCTAACTATTAATGTTTTGGTCAGGTAAGTATTACTTCTGCTAATTTACAATTATTTAACCTCTGTTTGGACAAGTCTCACCAATTTGTTTTCTCCATCACAGATGGACTTATTTCATAGGGATGTCCTTCTTCTGCATTGAAAGACATCTCAGTATCTGGATTAATTAAACTATATTAAATATATTTTGGTGTATAATTTCTTATGTACTTTTTGATATAAATAATACAAATATTTATCTATTTCTCATTATTCATATAATTGTTCAAATAATAATTTGTTTTCATTGAAACTTATGACAAAAATCATTATTAAAACAATAGATTGGCCCGTGCATAGCACGGGAAGTCACACTAGTAACCAATAAACCCCAAAATCACAAAACGACAAATACAGTACGAGATTTTGCTAACAACTTCGCCGCCACAAGGGCAAATTCGTCAATTTAAAGAGCGCAACCCCTCAGCAAATCCCCGTATGTCACGTGATATACATATACCACATATGATTAAAATAATAATAATAAAAAAGCTCCATTCGTCTCTTTCTTTTGTCTCTCTCTTTCCGTCGTCGTCGTACTAGTCTCTTGTCAGTCATGGCGATAACCGTATACGACGCCTTCACGGAGAGAAAAAAAACCGCCAAAATCATCAATATCAACGATTCCGCCTCCTCCTCTTCCTCCTCCTCATTAGTCAACCTCTCGTCGACTACTTTCCGCGACAACATCAGATCGCTTCTCCGCGACTACGCCGTGACGGAAGATTACACCGTCGACGGCAACACCGTCTCCTGTATCTTCCTTTTCAGCGAAGTAACCGGCGTCGTGTTCCCTCTTTTCGCCGTGGAAGAACGAATCTCCGACGGCGATTCATCTCCCAATCCTCCTCTATGCGATGTTTGTAGATGCGTCGGTAATTAAAAAATCAATATAGATCTAAACATTTTTTTTTTTTTGATTTTGTTAGGTTTATCACGCACATCTCGTTTTCTAGGGTTTTGTTTTCGTTAAAATAAGAATCTGATGATTTTGTTATTTAATTATATGTGTGTGTACAGGTTGGGGTCATCATTATGTAACGAAGAGAAAGTATCATCTGATAATCCCGAGGAATGATAAATGGAACGAGTCACTGACGAGAGAGAGCTTGAAGGCGAGGAATCATTTGATGCATGGTGTGATTCACTGCAATGGCTTTGGTCACTTGCTATGCATCAAATCTGGTTTCTTTTCTGGTGATAGAATCATGAACCTTTGGGACAGTCTTTGCTCTACTCTTCACACTAGGTAAACTATATCTCTTTTACATCACTTGGATCCATTATCAAAAAAAAAAGAAGAGTTTTTGATCATTTTATAAGAGAGATGAAACAAAAATGTGGTAGGGGCAAGACAGTTAGAACTGCCTTACTTTGCAAAAAAAAACATTAAAGAATCATCTGTAAGAGAATAGTAGAGTTTTTTTTACTAATTAAAGAAAAAAAATTGGCGCGCATCCGATATTTGAAATCCCACATCGGAAGTTGAAGTTTAAACTGATAATTTTACTTGGATCCATCATAAAAAAACGAGTTTTTGATCATTTCATAAGAGATGAAACAAAATGTGGTAGAGTTGAGACATTTAGAGCTTCCTTAGTTTGTAAAAATGTAACATTATAGTAGCATATGTAAGAGAATAGTTGATTATTTTTTACTAATTAAAGGAGAAAATTGGCGCGCTTCCGATGTTTGAAATCCCACATGGAAGTTTAAGTTTCAAATTGATAAATTCACTTGAATCCATTATTAAAAAAAAAGTTTTTTATCATTTCATAAGTGAGATGAAACAAAATAGAGTTAAGACTTTGCAAAATAAAACTTTAAAGAATCACATGTAAGAGAAATAGAATTTTTTTACTGATTAAAGAAAAAGATTTGGCGCACATCTGACGTTTGAAATCTCACATCGGAAGTTTAAGTTAAAATCAATAAATTCAGCTGGACTCATTGACAAAAAAAAAGAAATTGGTCATTTCGTAAGAGATGAAACAAAACTGTGGCAGAGTTAAGATGGTTAGAGCCGCCTTTACAAAAAAAAAATTAAAGAATCAAAAGAAATGGAATTTTTACTAACTAAAGAAAAAAATTTGACGTTCATCCGATGATCGATGTTCCACATCGGAAGTTTAAGTTAAAATTGATAAATTCATACTAACTGTAAAAGAAATAACAATATTAAATTTAAAAATACCATGTCAGCTATTATTTTCCAAATATAGAAGAAATTTGTGGTACTAATGTTAAAAATCAGTGTCGGATATTTTTTCTAAATATAAAAGATATATAGGGATATTTATGTGAGAAATTCCACATCGGACGAATAAGACTTTGACAAACTGTGACAGTTGATATCAAAAATTTCATATCAATGATAAATTGGAATGAATATATATTTTTCTAACTAGAATTTTTTGTCGAATTAATATTAGAACTTTGAATGAAAATTTTCCTTATATAAAATAATTTTGGTAATGTTATCGGAAAATTTTCTTATGATGAAAGATATTTTTGGTACTGGTGTTTGAAATTCTATGTTGGATAAATACTTTTTCTGATTACAAAATAAATTGTGGCCACAAAAATTAGAAGTTTCGTATCAGTTATAAGTTGAAAGGAATAAGGTTTTAATAATAAACTGTTGTGGAATTGATTTTAGAAAATCGTTTTCCCATGATTATTTTCTATAACTATAAGAGAATTAGCTGAGTGAATGTTTAGCAAAAAAATATTTTTACTATTTTTAATAGATATTGTGGCATATATTAATTTTTTATCAGATTATTTTTCGTTAATTAAAAAACAAATTTGATCTTTAGAACAAATAAATTGTCTTATGATGATGACATAAGAGCTAGTGTTCTATAATATTATAGATAAATAATGGCATTGATGCTAGAAATTTCATTGGAAAGATTAAGTTTTTATTGATTATAAGAAAAATGTGCCATTGATACATTGTTATTCAATTGATGGTTTAGAAATATAAACCAGGGATCTTAACTATTTGAAGACTTTTTACAAAGATGCAGGCCACATATATGTTGGCTATTTAGTAATCCATATTATATCATTGTTGTTATAATACTCCAATTAGTCTACCCTAGCAAAGAATATTAAGTAGGTTTAATGAGTAGTGTTTATATGAAATCGTTAATCAATGATTGTGTGTTTGCAATGGCTTCAGGAAGATTTCAGTGGATGATATGTCGAAGAAAGGATCAATGGATCTGAGGCTGCTCCATGGTGTTGCATATGGTCGACCATGGTTTGGAAAATGGGATTACATGTTCTCTCATGGAAGCTTTGGGATCAGAAAAGAACAATACAGTCGAGCTATTTGCATTCTTAGCTCTATGGAAGTTGACAAGATAAAAGAAGATTTCTCCGGAACAAGAAAAGAGAGAGTGTTGAAGATGATCATCAACTTCTACGTAGAATCAAGTCAGACCCCAATAGTCACTCTCTCTGAGTTGCTTCAGTTCATGCTTGCCTTCACTTCCAAAGCTCCCGTTGAGCGAACAACCGCAATGGCACTAGTAGCAATGTCTTCACATCACATTTCAAATCCAATCCCTGGAGACGAGGGAGACACTTCGGATAGCTCTTTAACCTCAACCCCTGATGATCAGGAGGAATCAGATGATAATGAGAATGAGAATGATTCTGGCGCAGACACTGACCTAGTAGATCAAAATACTACAATGGTGGGCATGAATCCCCCTAAGTATAACTCATTTGAAGAAATGGCCAGGGCAGAACAAGCTAGATGGTCTGCAAAGAGGTTGAACAACGCAGCTCAAGCGGTTCTCAAAGTTTTCAATGAGAGAAACAACAGCGTCATTAGTCGCCAAGAGCTACGTGAAGCTGTTAGAGGTAGCATTGGTGACACAGGGTTGATTGACTTCTTGCTCAAACACATTGACAAGGTTCTAATAGGTGACCAATTAGTCCAGAGGTTCGCAAACCCGGAATCACGGATGCTACAATTCTCCCTCAGGAAAATCACTCCCCATGCTTTAGATCGAGAAGCCAAAAAGAGAAGGAAGACTCATGAAACCGATGAATGGAGATCAACCACTCCTGGACTGGATCCTTATGAAGACATTCTTTATCTGTATAAGAATCTCTTGCTAGCTTATCCTTATGCAGACGTATACAGTGATGCCTCTGAGGTTATCTTGAACTGCAAGAGCTTTGTGAAAGAATGGCCCTTACAATCTCACCAGGGACATAACTCTTTAACAGTAAGCTGCCAAGTCTTGCCTAATCACGAAGAGGTTCTCAGAGACTTCACCAGGAAACTACCCCCTGGAGAACTCGTGATGGTTCCTAAAAACGCAACCATCAGAGAACTGAAATCTGCAGCAGAGGAAGCTATGAGGGACACTTACTTCGTCATGGAGAATTTTGAAGTGTTGGAGATCAAAAACAAAGATCTCGAGAAGATTAATGAGAGCATCGGTCTAATCTCAGATGGTAATAAGATTATGACAGAGTTCTTGGTGACAGGGTTTGGTCTGGATACAGGGACAGAGCTAAGGTACGAAGGAGGGTTTGATGACTGGACCGTTGAGTGCAAATGCGGTGCTAGAGATGATGACGGTGAGAGAATGGTGGCTTGTGATGCTTGCAAGGTTTGGCACCACACTAAGTGCCATTCCATAGATGACGATGAAGCTGTGCCTCAGGTGTTTCTATGTAATAGGTGTTTTGGAGATAGCGTGAGGTCCAAGAAACGCAATGTCGCCAATCGCTAGCACTGGCATAGTTTTGGAGATGGCTTGCAATCCAAGAAATGTGGAATTCCCCTAATATATATTTTAAATATAAACCATTGATTATGTTAATTAACATGCATAGCTGGTGTTTAATTTGGAGATCGCTATGATCGATCGTACATTGTTATGGTGAACATTTCCAAATCATTGATTACTTTAGCCATTGATCGGTCTTTAATTTGTTCATAGAAAATATATCTGCATCAATTTATATGTATATATGTCCATTTATTTATCTCGAAGATAATTGTTATTTTTTGCTCCAAACATTGTAGTAAAATAGCTATAAATTGAGTACATTATATAATATTGTACAACTTGACTATAATATTGAAGATGGATGCATGACATGTGGAACATGCATGACATTGAGATTAAAAAGCACATGCATTACTCTCCATTGCTCCAATATATCTTGACCCCTTCAGTTAAATCTGTCATCTTCAATTGGCTCGCAACATTCCTCTTTTTATTCCTTACTTTTTGTCTGCCATAATCATATCCAATTAATAGTTTTTGTATTACTTTCTATTTTGCTTTTCTTAATTTCGAAAGTGGATTTTGCTGCCAAAACATTATGACCATCATTCTTCTTGTATCATTGATCATATATCTTTTTAATAAGGTGAGTCAATAATTATCTAAAACAGCCATCCAGGCATACGACGCGGATGCTTTTTGATTAGAGATTTCTATTATATTGAGTTGGTTTACAAAATAATTAGCGTCTTGTTTATAGTTTAGTTTATTTTTTTCGAGACAAATATCACGACAAAGGTCTCTGGCTTGATAAACGCGCCATGCGGACTAGTGAGACCCTAGTGCTCAATATTTAAATGTGTTTTCTAGAAATTTTTTGTACTTAACTACTAAGAAATTCAATAATTTAAATATCTTGAATAAAATTCTACAGATTGGATAGATCATTTAAAGCCAGTATATGGTCAAATTTCCCTATACAGATATATTTTGGATTTAACTTTACAGAATCTTAGTTTTGTAACTAAACACAAATTGTAGAGAGATGATCATTTTGATCATAAATATACACTTGTTGAATGTTATTTTTATGACAGGAATTAAAACTAACACCACTCTTGATTTTTTTTTTCTCACGTTTTTCTTATAATTCACTTCTTTAGATTCATGCTTCTGTTCTTCTTTTTGTCAGTCGGTGCTTCCATCTTTTAAGTTATGAATTTTTAACATTAATAGATTTAAATACAAAGAAGAAATGAGATGATGATGGGTAACAATATTTTAATTGAATAAAAAGCTTTATGAAATATAAAACAAAGTTGCCATACACCATTATCCTATGATCATTTTTTATTTTAATGTACGCATATACTTTCATAAGTTTTTGCTAAATATTGATTTGCAATTGAACTTTTCTTATATACACGAAAGACTTTGTAAAACTACATTTTTTATCAATTGTGCAAAAAATATGACGAACGAATGTACCTATCAGTTTGCTCTTTAGAGCATCCACATCAATGAACCCCCTCTTGGGGTTCATTGATTCAATATTTTATTATTAAATTTTTTCTATTTTTTTTTTGATTTAAAAAAAAAAAAAAAAAAATAGACGAATCATGGGCCGCCACGTGTCATGGGGCCCGCGCTACAGTAGTGAACCGGGGTCACTGCAGAGAACTTTTAAGGGGCAGGTTCACTACTATTCATTATTTTAATATTTTTTTTTTTTTTGAAAAACGTGTGAACCCCCATCATGAACCCTTGATGGGGGTGCTCTTAGACTCATTACGAATAGTGCATGATATTCACATTTTTAATTAGTGGGTTCCAGTGAATCAACACAATCTCATAAACACCAAACTTGGAACACTTTTTGGACCCATATCTCTCTTTTCTCTATGATGAATAATAAATAAATCATTCATACGGCCTTCAACATCACTATCTCTCTGGTCTCATTTCTTCTTTTTGTCTCACAGAGCATTCACTATTTTTTTATAAATTATTATTTTAAACATAATACTGATAGCACAAAGCAGATATAATATCCTTTTCAAAAAAATATAAAATGAAAATACTGTATGGCTTTGAACACAGAATCCAGAAAAAACAAAAGAAAAAAAAATCAATGAAGAGGAGATCTTCGAGAAATTCCTTTTCTCTTAATTAGTCTCATGAATGGTCTCAATGAAAAATTACTCAATAAAGCTTCTGAATCTTCTGAAACATCGGTGAGTGATGATATGGACGATTTTTTCTCTTCTAAAAATCCTTCTTGATGATAATGTTCTTTCTCCAAAACAATTTGTTCCACTTCTGAAGAGGAACATAACTTACGCTTTTTCAGAGGAGCTGATGCAATCTATAAAACAAATGGCCTTCAGTTATTTGAGCATACTCTACACTTAGAAGAAGAAAAACTGTATGCGAATTTCACGTTTTTGAAACGTGTTTATAACGTATATACAATTCACATGATGTCCAAATTAACGTTTAAAGAAATGATACTCATATGTTAATGTAGGTTACGTGTCACAAGTATAGATATATATGACTGATACTATAACATGTGTCTTGGTTTGTTACGATTCTTCCAAAAGAAAATATAAAAACTCGTATGCGTAGTGTTGAAAAGAAAATGTTAAAAGAACCGTAAAAAATCAAGTGTGAACTGTACTATTGACAATGTGTAGAATTCAAATTATCTTGTCAGAGATATAAATGCCTCATTCATCTAATGAAGATTAACTCTTTTTTTTAATTTCAAGATTGTTCTGTAAAAACTTTAGTATATATTCTAATCAAAACATTTTGTATACCTCTGCTAACTAATAAACTTATTTTTCAATGCATAACCATCAAAGTAACAATAGACTAATGGAAGGAAAAAACAATGTATAGATGTTAAAAAAATTTTAATGAAAATGAAAGATCAAATTTTACCTTGCATGAGATGGAGCAAAATCGATTAGGACGATCTTGAATATATCTTTTACAAGTGACGCATGAACCAGCATTTTTGGATTTTGTTGAAGGTCTTGCATCTTTTGCTTGTGGCCTCGAATTCAAATGTATTGCCTTTTCTCCGTTTATTTTGTATGTCTAATGCCAACCAATAATAAAAAAAAGGTAAAACAATAGTACATATCAAGTTAGTTTTGAATTTTCATAGACACTGAAAATCCGATCAAAAAAAGATACCACACCACAAATTAATAAATGAAATCCATATTTAAAACAATAAGATGAATTTAAATATTAAAAATAAAATAAAAACCTGTATCTCGGAGCAATCAAAGTAGTGTTGAATATCGAGGAGGCGCAGAACATCTTGATAAACATATTTGCAGATCTGAAGACGACGATGGAGAAAATGAGCTTCTGTGTTGCAACAATGCCTGCAGATTTCGACGTTACAGTCAATGCAAAAGACATTCTTCTCATTCTTTCGAAGATACTTATGATCCATACATATCCCAAAGAACTCTAAACTCAATAGCTTCCCAATCCACTCTTCATCAACTCTTGTCTTCTCACTCTGCAACTAATATTTCTACTTGTGAATATCTGAATAATTAAGAAACTTGATCGAGAAATTATAATAAATTTCTATATGATTTAAGATTAAATTCATTTATTATTATATTTTAAAATATGAAATCAGTAGATAGTTTGAGATTCTACTGAGTTTATATATATGAAGTCACTTGAAACTTGGATTGATAAGTTTGAAACTATAAAGCCAATTAATTCTTGAAAGGATGGAATCTGCAGAAATTTGAAGCTTTATTGATATTTATAATGAATATCTTATACGTATATATGGAAGATATTACAAATTTGAATTAAAAAGATTCATTAGCCAGATTTTTTTAAAAAAATTTGCTAGTTGTTAAGGATAAACTCTGCAGAAATTTTCTTGTTTATGATTTCTAATTTATTGTTGAAACTAAAAAAAATTCAATCTTACGGATTTGTATGAAAAAAAAAAGATGAGATCTGCAGAAATTATGAAGCTTATTGGTGTATATGATGAATTGATATACAAATTAAAAGCAGATTACATGAATCAGAAAATAATATAAAAATAAAATAAGGCTTTGTACCAGATTCATTTTGGGTATGAGAAATTGAATTCCTTTAATCGATCAGATGAGCAGCGTTAAGAAAAAACATTCAAGGTTCTTGGGGAAGATGAAGGAGAGGCCAGAAGCAAAAAATGAATCAGAAAGAAGTGATTGTGGTGTGAATAGTAGAAGGCAAAGGAAATATAAACAATTATTTTAGGAATGTATCATCAATTGTATATTGTGTTTCGTGATTAAATATTAATAATTAAGGAAAATAAAAGGACAACTTTTATAATTAATTAAATAAGGGAAATATCAAAAGTCCTAACAGTCAACATAAACTGTTGCTCTTTACACCTAAAATGGATAGCATGCGGGGATATGAAAGACGTGTAACTATATTAACTTTTATGTTTTAACCTTCAAAATTAATCATTTTAAAACACAAATGAAATCGCTAATGAGGTCATTAATATGAAAATTTATAATAATATAATTGAGTGGACATAATTTGACTTTGAGGAGGAAAAGGTAGTCTTTATAATTTAGATGGTGCAATAAAGGTAAGCAAGGCTTCCTATATTTACTCCGAAATTTCCAAGGAAAAAGCTTTATAATTTTGGAATTATATCATTCTATAAGATGTCGAAGATAAACCGCTTGCATTGCAGATAATATATAATTTAAACTGTATTAATTATATTTACCAGCAAGATTTAACAGGTTGACCAAAAAAATTTTAAAATAGAAAATAATCACCATCTTTTTCTGAGAAACGTTTTATTCAAACTAAAATGCATGAAAATAATACAACAATATGACATTAAGTAAGAGTAAACCTACAATGAAGTAGGAGCTAGATGGGGAGGGGGATAATCATCATCTTATCTCTCTTATTTTAGTTCCAAGTGCAATATACTCAACTGGTAAAGATAATTTTTTTTTTCTTTTGTCAAAGTAAGTATTGTATCTATCATAGCCAAATTCAAATTCAACACATACCAGCACTATGCTTAAAAGAGATATTTACGTTGTGTGAGATTATCACGTGTGTTCCCATCAGTAAGTTTACATTTAGAGAAAAGAAGTGCTTACGCAAGTTTCAGATTAAACTGAAAACTTTAAAAGGGATAAACCCCATTTTTGGAAATTCACATCGTTTGTGCGCTCGGGTTAGACCTATCCGGTTACTAAAAAATCAGAAATTAATTAAGGATTAATCAAAAATTAACTTTAAATTATTATTATATATATATATTTTTTTTAATTATTATATATATATGTATTGTATGTACAATAAAAATGTAATTCCACGGTAGTTCAGATAGTTTATGTATCCATTAATCAACTTAGGGTCGGTTTCAACTTGAGAAGGTTGTGGGTTTGTTGGTTTTTTTTCCTTTCTTCATCAATGAGAGCAAATATTACACAAATATCTTACATTTTCTTTCTCACTCTCTCTCGACTAAAAACTCTAATTTACACCTCCATCATATTTTTTGCAATTCTTGCAATTTTTCTACTTGATTTATCACAATTCTAGTACATATATGATAGATTTTCTTAATATTACATGATTCTGTTTTACGATTTAGAAAAATATTTTTGGTTAAACTTGGATTTTTTGAGTGATTTCTCTCAAAATACTATGGTTGAAGGGTGATTGGCGTTTAACCCCTATTCAAACGGTTGTGGTGGCCACATTTCAGAACATGGGACAAACTAGAATTTTAATGACCAAATTCATCGGTAAACAAAACTAAACAAATGAAAAATATAGTTAAAATAAAAATTTAGGTGGACTTTTTCTTTTGGTAAAATGTTAAATTTAGGCGGACTTTTCATAGTATTTTAGTACTATAAAATATAACCAAAATTATTAAAAAAGAGATATAAAACAACTTATAAATTTTGATTTTTGGAAATATTAAATTTGTGGAGTTTAATTTTTCAGACCGAACAACATGCAAAATATGTTAAGTTTATAATTTACTCCGTACGTTTCATAATAAAGTTGACTGTTCTACCTATTTTTGTTGTTTGTTAAAGATAAAAATTTTAAAATTGGTGTATCTTTTATTAAAATAGTCACTGTAGAGATCAACAAATATTTATTGATAATAGTTATACATTTTGAATCACTATTGAGTTAGAATTATGAAAATAATATTGAATAATATTTTTAATATGTGAAAAGATTCTAAAATATTATCTTTATGAAACAAATAGAATACTTCTTATTTTATTTTACTTTTTTTTTGTAACGGAGTATTTATTATTTATTGTTGCGTAGCAAAACGGAAAAGAAAAGTTGGATGTTTCAAATTTTTCCTCTAGTAACTTTTATTAATGTGAAAATTATTGTTAAGCTATTATTAAAATATTATTTAAAGGAATATTTAAAAGAATATATTTAAAGAAAATAATAACAGAAACTGAAACAAAAGAGAAATTAGGCGACATGTCCATTACAGAATGACAAATTCACCATATAACCATTAGGTAACTTGGCTATAATATAATACATATTTACCTTATTGATGGACGAAAATATCTTCATACTATTTATCATGTTTACTCGCAGGTTTCACATACCTAAGAAAACACCTAACAATAAGACAAACAAGAAAAAAATCTGTATATGGTGGTATTTATAAGAGAAAGATGACATGAAGTTTGTATGAAGAAATTTTCAATATAGGATTTTTGAGAAATCAAGGTTATGGCGGTGGTAATCAGATTTCGAAGGAGTGGTAGGAAAAGAAAATAAATAAAGACAACAACGTTACAAGTCTTTAAAATGTGTTTAGAAATCAAAGAATGTCAGAGCAGCCACATTGGGGGTTCACCCAAGGGGTTCACCCCCTTCCCAAGAAAAAAAAAATATAAAAATCATATTTGTGTGAACCTGTGTCTTCAAGGTTCAGTAGGATGAACCTGGTTCATCACTATTTCGTGGGCCCCACGCCACGTGGTGGCCCGCTATAGGTCACTTTAATTTTTTTTTTTTTTTTTTAAAGTAAAAAAAAAATTCAGTTGTGAACCCCAACCATGGGGTTCACTAATGCTGATGCTCTCAGAGAAGTCAATTAAACAGTGAATTTTATGTAATATGTTCTATTCAGTATATTGGTGTTGTAACAAATGTATAGAAAGCAAAGTTCATAATAATACAAAGTTGTAAATGACTAAATGTTTTGACATGAATCATATCCATGAATCAATGTACTAATATCAAATTCTAGACATGGAACAACTATCTTCATTGTCCACCATTTTTTATAAACAATATGTTATACTATATTATTCTATTATAGAAACAGTATAGTATGTTACATCATCCCTTCTCTTATCTCCTCATCATCATTCTTTATCCTCCGCTTCTTCCTCCCTCCTCTCTTCTTACTCCTCATCCTCTTTTCTAGTGTCTCCTTTCTCCCCTCCTGTCTCTTTCTCTCTCCTCTCTCCTCTCTCATCATCCTCTGCTATCTTTTGTGTAATATATTCTTTTTATACTCGCAGTATAAGAGCATCTCCATCAGTAAATCCATGAGGTTTGATTTCCAATGTACGTTTTTTTCTGTTTGATTTAAAACAAAAAAAATCTGAACCAATCGCGGCCCACCATATGGTGTGGAACCGCGAAACAGTGGTGAACCGGGTTTACTACGGGAGCTTGCAAGAGACATGTTTAGTACTTTTCAATATTTTAGTATTTTTTTTTTTGGAAAACGTGTGAACCCACATCTAAACCTGTGATGGGAGTACTCTAATAATCTAGTCTCGTTTCTTTATCTTCCTTCATTTCTCCTCTTCCCCTCATTCTCCTCCTTTCCTCTCTCTTCCCTTTCATTTTCTTCCTCTTCCATCTATGTAGTACAGAGTTATTACCTTCAAACTCTTTTCTAAAAAATAATTACCATTGTGATGTTGATATGAATCAAATTTCTATACTATTTATTGATAAATATAGTATATTACATTAGTTATGTATACATAATGCATCAAATTAACGTCACACACAATAAAAGAGTTTTCTATCTAATTTTCATCCAAATTGACACAGTCTCAACAAAATTCTGGTTAGATACTTAGTTTTTCACCTCCATATGTACATCCAGCAAATTCACCCAAACAAAAACCAAACCAATTTTCTTCACCATAATCTGTAGTTAGGTATAATTACACTCTAATATAGAATACTACGGATAACTGGATAGATCACCTTTTTATCTTAATATGCTTTGTATAGTCGCATTTCAATATATGTCTATAAATCATTTTTGGTATCAGTTAAAGTAAATATTCTTCAACTTTACTTTGTTTTAATTTTATAATTGGGTAAAAATAAATTAATATGAAAATCATTTTATATTAGAGTTAATAAAAAGGAAATCACTTTTAAAAAAATGTAAAATAATAAATCTTCTACATATTTTACCCTTGTAAACATAGTAGAATTTAAGTTTCACAACTCCCCTATAAAAGTATTCTATTTTTAAAAAGTTTAAAAAATAACAATGGAGATGTTTTAATGTTCTTTTACTACCTAGAATTTCTTCCCGTTCACCACCAAGAACACACGATTGCTAGTTTAGTGTTATTACATATATTACTTCGTGTAGCCAACCTGAGTTCAAATCCGAGAGATACAATTCTCTACATTTTAAATATATAATTCAGTTTAAACTTGTACTCAAATGGTTCTGGATAAAAACCGAAACGATACCCATGAATAATTAACATTAAGACCATCGGGTAAATAAACTATTTTATTGTGTCATAAAACTGAAAACATTTTCTCCCAAACCCATGATTCGAAACTAGTGTTTAGAGCAGTCCATAAATACTGTACGAGTTTCTCATCAAGTTCAGGTTGGTGCAGGTGTCCAAACTCCAAAGTGATCCTTATAGAGAAAATAGTCTTTAAATAAGTTTGGTTAGAGTTGGGTTTTACCTCACTTCAGACCCGGTTAGAGAGTTCGATTCAAGCATTTTAGAGGCTCAAATCAAGTACCACCTAGGTCCAATAGAGGAAACACTAAGCCCACGAAGTTCAATCCTACCCTAGCTGAAGAAGTCCTACATACCGAGTTCGACAAGTCAACACAAAACATAAAAAAATATCAAAAG